GTGTGTGTGTGTGTGTGTGTGTGTGTGTGTGTGTGTGTGTGTGTGTGTGTGTGTCCGTGCTAAGAACTGACCTGCACCACAGCGTACTCCACCAATGAGGAGAATCCAAAGAGCAGACAGGCAATCAGCCAGATATCGATGGCCTTTACGTATGAGACCTTTGGAAGTTCTGAAGCCAAGGACATACTCTCACTGGACAAAGAGAGTACTGATAAAATACCTAGAAAAATATTTAACAATTATTCATTTTGCTTAGTCAAATAAATTATTTTCATAAAATTAGATTTGCAATAACTGCTTATGGTAAAGAAAAACTGATGTTTTTCTAAATATGTTAACATAACACACCTTAATTATGCAAGTAATACAGCAGCAAATCATCAACTCATTTTATAAAAACTATACAAGACTAATAAATACAACAGCATTTTAATCACAGAATTTTGTTATTCATGAATACATTACTAATTCAAGTAAAATAATTTTGATAAACCAGGCTTTGAACCTCTATCAGAGGATGTGTGTGTGTTCCACTCTCACATGAAAACTTTTCCTRATTCTTCAGACTACAGGCCTACCGTCAATAATTCCAGCCYCTCAGAGACATCTGACCTATCACCATGATAACAAGGACGCTGCACCCTAAAACTCCCTCCTTATCTGACAGTGATCATCTCTGGAATGTGATTCTGTGTCCCTAACTTCCRGTTGAACTCTGAATAACCACKGAACTMATGAAAACAACAATTARTCTTGCGTCATTCTTTATTGTTGTGTATACATCATATTATGTCATCATTTTAAATGTGTGATTGTTTAATCAACGATGTCTCAACGATGTCTCATTTAACTTCTTTATTCCAGCAGATGAAGATGGAAAAGTCTCTTTAATCTTCATTTTAATCTTTACATGTGTTTTTGTTGTTAAAGTCATGGTTAAAGTCATCAAAGTATTTACAATAATGATTAGTTGTACTGAAATATTACTAAACTTTGAATGGATGAGAGGATTATAAAGATAGGTTTCAAAGTTCACATTTTTGGTTTCTTTAAGCTAAAACACTTATTGGTATTTTTCCAGAAAGAGCTATTTTAATGACTCGACAGCGGCACCTAACGTGAGACAGAGGAACTGGTAAGTCCTAGAGYGCTGAAATTAGGGGCATTGGTAGATCTCCCCAAAACAAGTAAAAAAGTCTCTTGGAGGTATGCCCTAAAACCAACGTATGTTGTTTGTCTAACAAATGGCTATGTACCAGTTGGGTGAAGGATAGCAAAGGTTGTCTTTCTGCCCAAAGCTGGCCAGCCAACATTTAGATAAGCAAGAACTTTCAGGCCCATCAGCTTAACATCTTTCTGAAAGGAATGAAGAGGTTGATAGATCGACATGTATGAGATGGTATTTTATTGCTATCAATTTTAAAAGTCAGCATGCACGTTCGAGGTAACGAACGGGTAACCTCAAATGGGCTTGTCCACAGGGAGGAGTAATCTCACCCGTTTTGGCTCCTGGTCGTCAACAGCCTACTATGTGAGTTAAATAGATCTAGACTGATGGCTTGGTCATACTTATAGAAGGCTTCTGCCTGGGTACAGTATGTAAACTAATGCAGAGGGGACTAAACATAGTATCCAGATGGTGCTGAGAGCAGGATTTCATTCATTTCATCCATAAAAGGTCAAGGAAGGTTTCCTCATCTCCAAAGTTTGAAGGTATAGAACTCCCCCTGTCAGATTGGGTTACATTTTTGGGTGTCTACTTAGACAGGATGCTTACCTGGAAATGACATGTAAATGAAAAGTGTAAAAAGGCAGCAATGTGGCTACAACAGTGCCATGGAATAGCAGGTAATCATTGGGGTGCTACCCCAAAGGTTAACACTTCATGGATGGATAGTGTCATGGGGTAACCCATGATGTCTGATGAGTAACGTGCCCATTTGTGGACAAACAATTAATGATTGCACAGTTTTGTTTGTTTTGCTATATTTTTCAGGCTTATAAAATTGTGCTGTTTGGTTTGTGTTCGTTACAGAGAAGGTAAGGACTTATGATCATCTGCTGGTTTTGTTGGCTGTGATGGGAAGGATTGCTAGGTGGTGGGTGTTGTTTTTGTCTTGCTTCGTGCTTCAGGCCACCCTGTTAAAAGCAGAACAGAAGCCTTCCAAAGTCTTATATGGAAAGGTTGATTGTGGGATGTTTCCTTTCCACCTAGGGGTGTTTGTGTTTGTTTTACCATGTTTAAGAAGAGATCCAAAAACGAAACACCAGTCAATTTGATGATATTTAACATAACATACAATCACTTTTTTGTAAAAGAGATAGTTTATATAATTTGAAAGGAATTGAAATGTTTCTCAAACCAAAAATTAGAACAAATTTTAAGGAGAGATGCACTTCCTTTCAGGGAATCAGATTGTGGAATAATTTGGGAAATGTTTTCAAAAATGCCAATACGATTTATATTTTTGCTAGATTAATAAAAACCTTTTTTGTTGTTAAAATATGAACAAATGTAGATATAGTATTAATTTGAGCAATTTCTTAATTTTTATTTTTTTTAGATCGTTTTTGTTGCACTATGTTCATCACTGATGTTACAAAGTGAACTATGTTATTAATGAATATCCGCAGTTTGCGCCTTGAGAAATTTTCTAGTAGCACTTTTTTTGTTTTTTTTCTTTCAAATGAAATATATATTTAAAAGAAAGAAAAGAAGAAGAAAGGATAAGGGAAAGAAAAAATATATTTTGCTTGATGATCTTACATATGCTGGAACAATTTCTTAATTTAGTAGAATGCTAAAAGTTTCTTTTAATGAAATATGAACAAAATATTGGTTAAGATTTGTATTTGTGTTGTGATGCTGTTTGTTGATTATTTGAAATTATATTGTGTTTTAAGTTGAGTTTTTTACTCGTATGTTGTACGTTATTTTAGATACATATATATTTTTAATTGGGGGCAGATGTTATAAGATTTTTTTCTTCTTTCTGCTCCTTTTCATTTGACTACGTTGTGATTGTGTTTTTGACACAATGATGTTGTATTCTTTGTTTTTTTTTTCTATTATTATTTGTTTGTTGAATGAAATAAAGTTCTTAATCAATCAAAAAAATCTTGGTTTTGCTCATTGATTTGAATACTTGTAAATACTGTGTTAAGTTTTGATTATTTGTAATTTGCAACTGTGAATGAAAAAGTAATTAATGGTGTTTTTTTCTGCAGGAGGAGCTTCTGGAATAAAGCTTGGAGAGGAAGCTTACTTGCAAGGACTTTGAGTTGTTTGAGCTCAGTAAGCACAGAACACTGGAGCCCCATAGCCAGGGGCCTAGTGTTGTCTTCTATATTTTGTTATAAGTTTAATTTTATTACTTTGTACACAATGGCGTTAGTTTTTTCCACATATTTTGAGGTTTTTGTATTTTTTTCTTCCTTTACATGGATGGATGGATTGATTGATTGATTGATGGATTGATGGACTGATGGATGCATGGATGGATGGATGGATGGATGGATGGATGGATGGATGGATGGATGGATGGATGGATGGATGGATGGACGGATGGATGGATGATTGAATGATTGATGGATGCATGGATGGATGGATAGATGGACGGACGGATTGATGGATTGAATGATTGATGGATGGATTGATGGATGCATGGATAGATGGATGGATGGATGGATGGATTGATGGATGCATGGATGGATGGATGGATGGATTGATGGATGGATGGATTGATGGATGGATGGATGGATGGATTGATGGATGGATGGATTGATGGATGGATGGATGGATGGATTGATGGATGGATGGATTGATGGATGGATGATGGATTGATGGATTGATGGTTGGATGGATGGATGGATTGATGGATTGATGGATGGATTGATTGATTGATTGATTGATTGATTGATTGATTGATGATGTCTTGTACCAGTATTGTGAAGGATTTTAGATGTGTGATGTTTCAGCACATATTTGTTTTAAATATAAAATTTAATACAAAACTTAAGGATCAATGTTTGGTTCAATATTTCCTTAATTTTAACTCTGAAGTATAAAAAGGTCTTGATGTTGAATGAAGAAGCAGCTTGGTGGTCACAAAGAGAGGCTGGCAGTCTAACTGACAACAAATTCTGTACTGTATAGTTCAAACGTTACTTGAGTGTTGACTAATTTATATACAGTAACTGAATACTGTTCTTTAATGTAGACTGATGCAAACTACAAATGTGTTTTATATTTACCTAGTGGTACTCTCGCAGCTGAAGCATCAGGATTGATCCAGAATGACAGCCAGGACAAAACAACAATCAGTAGAGTTGGAGCATAGACCCCCATCATGTAGAAGCCAACCTGTCGACGCAACGTAAAAATAACCTCCACACAGGTGTAGTATCCTGTAAACAGACACAGAAGGAAAGAGTTTGCATGGATCATACCAGATAGTACCAGTTAATGAGAATATCTAAAAAAAAAAAACCTTATCATTGCAGGAGCTCTGCTGCATTACTCAGTCAGTTGTTTGTGAGCCATACATTGTGCTATAAATGTACAAACCATTCTCTAGGTTTACCAGAAAACAACTTTTGATCAAGTGTTGCTTTGTGTTCAAGAGAATGTTCTTCTGACAAGTAGATTGGAACCAAATGTTTACAAAAGCTATATACAAATATATAAAACCATTTTTCACACTGTCAGACATCAGACTTGTTTTAGATCATTAATTCCTAAAATATTTTTCTAATTTTTGGTAAACGATTAATGAAAAATACAATGTTTCAATTTCAAGTTCAAGAATCTTTATTATGTCCAAGGAGCAATTTGTTGCACAGCCAGTAGACGTAAAGACAACAAAACAAAAACATTCAAACACACAAAAATCACAGATGTTCATTAAAAAATTGAACTGCTGCTGGAATTAATGAGTTTTTTAAATCTATTAGCCCTACATTTGGTCAACTGATACCTGTGTCCATTAAAGTTTCATAATTTTCTTGAACATTGGAGGGGGAAGCCATCTCTTGTCAACACAATGGAGCTCCACTGTGTGGAAACAGTGACCCCTCAGGCAGCATTGTGTTCACAGAGCTTTATACTCGACCTGACTCTCCTTCTGTGTGACAGTTTTCATTTAGTAGAGAGTTCCCACAATTCTTTGCGTGGCAGGAAGCAACTGGAGCTGAGTGACAAACAATATCCAGCCATCAATATTGTTGTTTATATACTTATATGAGCTTTGGGGGGATAAAGGGAGGAATTTTGATTGATGTCCCGCTGCATCTTCACCAACCTACTGTCTCAGGTCATATTGAATCTCACACAAAACAGTTTAAGCTCATGCTCTTATTATGAAATGAACGGTTTCCTGTCCTTTGTCCCATTCACCTCACAACGCAGGGGTCACGTCAGTGTTGGAACATTCTTGCCTATGTCATGAGCCGCTCTAGACCTTGGAGAGGCCGCCTGCAACTGGGCACTGATGTAGTAGTAACTGTAAGATTGTCCATGAATGCTCTAATCAGGGATTGTCGGGGACCAGATCTGAACAAAGGGCCTTTGCACTCCACTTAGTCTGACTTCACAAGCATGTTCATGGCCAAGGCAAACAGACACAGATTYTACAGCCAGTGATAATACCCATCTATAGACGGTGCCACTCTGATGTTGTGGCCCCAGAGGACACCCTCAAACAGGAGTTGTTATAATTCCCCTTTTCCACTAGTGCCACTCAGTGTAGTGTCGGTACGGTCAGTGTCGGAACGGGTCAGTTAGTCCAGGATGAGGGTCCATYTCTTCTCTGGGACATGGAATTTGCTCAGGGCCAGCTCCACCAGCTTATGTTATTGATCCAAAAGCACTGGCAAGATCAAGTTACAACCTTTCTAGAACCCCCTTGCTCTCCTGTGCTTCTCGAAACAGTTGTGTCACCACACCTGTGTGCTAAATTTAACCGGGGATACCTGGAACTCCTCTCTTCTGGACCGAGGTGTCAGTTTATGTGTTCTTCAAGAGAAATCCCATTAGGCAGTTGGCAACAGTTTTGAAGAACGTCTTACACTCAACACAGAGGAGAGAGATTGTCCTGAATTGCTTGATGTTGCTAACATTCTCCTTCTTGGGAATTCAAACTTCCTCTGCGTATTTTCACTCCTGAGGTACCTTCCCTTTCCTCCAGATGACTCTGAGTGTAGATCTTCAAAAGCCACTCTAGAATTCTGGAACAGTTCTAGAAAACTTATATGGTACTCCACTGGAACCTGGTAAACCATGTAAGTTTTGCAGTCTTGTTGGCCCTTTGTTTTGCTTATGTTAAATAAACTGAMTGCTTTGATCCATTCTCATGTCTGTCTGCATCCTGGGTCCAATTGCTGACAAAACTAATAACTTCATTACTGTCAACAAATGCACAGATTACAAGTTAGGAGTAAGTCTTACTAACACACCAAATTTGAACTCAGTATCTGTCTCCAGCTTCTCGTGCTCCTCCTTTCTGATGTTAGTCACTCAGGATCTCTACATATGTCACCACTGCCTTCTCTTGCTTGTCGACCACAATGGTTGGTTGGTTAGCATCACATGTTTGTTGGTTTGYATCTYGAAGTACCACAGTATCTTACCCATGCTCTTCTCCTCCATACTTGGTGGCATCTCCCACTTTGACTCTGGGATCTCTAGTCCATTCTCGGCACAGATGCTCCTGTATAATATTCTAGACACCTGGCTATGATGCTACATGTACACAGTAAAAATTGGAGTGTTAAACTTTCAGTGTTAAACTTTTCAGAGTTAATTTCAGCTCCTCGTGTTGTATTAACACTTTCTAAGTAAATTAGCACCCTAATTCACAGTGCTGATTTCCTCAGTGTTGTCTCAACACTGGTCAGTGTTAAATAAGCTCCGCCCACTGTTAAGTCTTATATAACACTTAACAGTGTTGTTACCATACAGTGTTGAAAAAAGGATTCTGAAAAGCCCCGCCCTCTTCCTCATGGACCAGAATTTTCTCAGCAAGGAATGTTGGGTAATCTTGTAGAAATTATGTGTTTGCATGTCTAAGACTGTTAAAAATGTTCATGACTGTAAAAAATAGTTGTTCTGGTTAGTTGTCTTGTTCAGTTTGGTTAATTTTTCGATTTTAAGTTTTGTGTTATTGGTCATAAATAGACACCATGAGTGAGAGCTACTTCCTGGTGTGTAAAAGATATCTCTGTTGCGCTGCTATGCTAATGCGAGACCTGTGTTAATACAACACTTCAAGAGTTGACTTTAACTCTGGGATAGAGTGCAGAACTCTGTGTACTCTAACTCACACTGTGTAAAAAGAAAAAYGTAAATAGTAGTATTACATAATAAAYTGTCCTTTTAAAGTAAATTTAGGTCAAAATTAACTCCATAAAAATAACATTTTTACTCTGTAGAGTGTAAATGAYCTAMAGTGTTAAATAARTGTACTCATTTCTTTGTTGATTTTGTCACRAAAYTGAGTAAAATTAACTCTGAGAAATTGACACTGATTATAGAGTACATTTTACACTAATTTTGAGTGGGACCAAATATTATATGAAACAGAGTTAAACTCAACTCTATAGGTGTTAAAATGACGCTTCGTGTTTTGCTTTGTCTGCCTAGATCTTACACCATTAAGAATGTGCTGGACTGTCTCAGGGACATCTCGCACAGCCCYGATCTTGGGTCTTGTCTGGTATTGTAAACCGCAGCCTCTGTTGCTTTTGTGCTGCCATGGTTAGAGTCTCTGTGCTGTCCTTCAGTCCAGCCCCCTCTAGCCACTTGACTTTTTTTAGATCACTGGTATTGGAGTGAAACCTCGTGTACTTTGGGTTTAAAATATAAATAAGTACATCGCCAAGTTATCGCTATAAAGCATAAAGAAAACTGATAATTAAGAACTTACTAACCTGTTCCTTGGTAGTACTTTGTACAGTTTCCATATTTGATGTCTTCTTGTTTGATGTCAAACTGTGGGAGAGCGATTTCATCCATTTGCACTGGGTCTGACTGCCACATGAACACAAGGTCACTGGTGGTATAGCCAACTAAAAAATAAAAATCCCATTGTTGTAACCATGTTTTCAACTAAATCATACAGAAAATATATTTGCACACTAGCCTCTTCCAAAGCCCATATTCCATTTGCGTGGGAATAACTTGGTATGGCTGAACTGCTTCAGTGTGTATTTGCCTTTTATTGTCTGCCTTGGTGTGGCTTGAGTTTAAATATTAACTCTAGTCTATCAATGACAGAAGCAGTCACTTTACCCCCAAGCTTGAACTCAGCACCCCTGAAAATAAAGAAATTATCATTACTATAAAGGCAAGGAACTTTTGTTTTCAAACCTTAGCTTCGCCAAAATACTGAATAAATTTGGAAGTAGAACTCAGAGGGGATAAGCAGGGACTGGTGACACATCTATCATGTGGAATTGTGACAGCGTTCCAGTWTAACAATATTAGGATATGGCCAATTCAGTGTCAAATCATTGAGCTGTTACAAAAAGATCATCAAGGAAACATATGTATTCCATGCTTATGGTTTGGTAACAGCAATCCAAACATGATCACATTTCAAACTACTTTTGTGTCACAGCTCAGAGAGCCAGAAGAGGATGGAATTAAATGGAGGGACTCTGAAAACAGAGCATGCAAGCAAAGTTCATTCAGTCCTTTGCTCTTCAGATTCAGTTGCCCACCCCCTCCTGAGAAACACCAAACAGTTCAATGGCAAATACGGGTGTGACTTCTGTCTCCACAAAGGCGYCGGACCATACATATGGGAAACCTCCAAACCACCTTTAAGGATGGAGAAAGATCATTTTCAACATGTGATGCTGGCAACACCTGCTAATATCCAGTAATGGGAGTGAAAGACCAATCACCTCTGATTGAACTTGAGAGCTTCAACATGATCACTGGATTTATTCCAGAGTACCAGCACAGTGTTTAGGTGTCACTAAACAGATTACATCTCTGTGGTTAGACAGTAACCACCATAATAAAGAGCAGTACCTGGGCTCCGATGGCAGTGACATAGACCAGGCATTGCTGGCCAGTCATCCACCTGTGGAGGTCACAAGGGCACCAAGATCAGTGAAGGARMGAAAATTCTGGAAAGCATCTAAGCGGAGGTTATTTTTGTTCCTTTATGCATTGCCTGTTTTAAATGGAATTTTGAAAAAGAAGTACTAGAATCTTTTTATTAGTTTTTGCAACGCACTCTTCTATAGGATCCCATCAAAGTGAGCAAAGTGGATGTGGCAGAACAGGTACTAAACTCCCGGGCCACTTTTTTGCCCCAGTCCGCCCCTGATGCGAACCGCACCAGAGTTCGTTTGGAAGTGAACCGAGACCACCTCAAAAAGCAGGCCTTGGTCCGGTTGTTTGATCCGCACCAGAGTTTGTATGAGTGTCCACACCGGCAGAAAAGGTCTGGACCAAAGCTGGAAACGAACTCTGGTCCGTTTAAAGTGGACCAAATGTGTCAGGTGTGAATACACCTTTAAATAACTATTCTTTACCAGATTCTTAACAACCTTCTCTCCAAATTGACAAAAACGTTAGTTTCTTAAACTGGGTCATTTGTTAATTAGCTAATAAAAGACATGTGGTGTGAGAAATTATCTTGTTCTTTCTTAAAAGGGTTAAAGGTCAACCTTTACTTTAAACATCAACTC